GGGTGGTGGTGGTGGTGGTCGTCGGTCTGGTGGTGGTGGTCGTCGTCGGTCTGGAGGTGGTGGTCGTGGTCGTTGTAGTTGTGGTCGTTGTGGGCGCAGCTGTTGTTTTATGCCTGACAGGCGGAGCGGCTGGGGAAGAAGATGGCCCAGTTAATCAGGGTCTCGCCAAAACGAACAAGTATCCACAAAGAGTCACATGACACCACCAAGGGTCACATGACACCACCAAGGGTCACAAGACACCAGCGGCCCTTCTTGGGTTTCACACGAGTGACAAGACATAGTGTCGGTTTAACCTGGAGCCTTAACTGCCTGGTCACACTACAGTCACGACCCCCCACCCCCACCCCAACTACAGCGCAGGGGCCTGACAAGCCAGTAGGACCAGCGAGGACGCCCCCCCCCCCCCAATCAGATACACATGCTAATTATCCAGTGCAGTGGCTTCCCAGTATTTCCTGCTTTTGTTAAGATGACATTCGCACCCCCACAGGCTTTTATTGGTTTATGGGGGGTTGGGGGGGCGGCGTGCCCTTACCTGCCACGCAGCGCCGCATGTCCGGCCCCAGCTCCATGCCATCCGGGCAGGCGCAGGTGTACCTGGGGGAGTGCTCTGTGATCTGGGGGGCTTTCAGGCAGAGGTACTCACAGCCACCGTTGGGCAGAGAGCCCAAGTTACAGCTGTCAGGAGCTGGACAGAAAGATCCAGAAGAAAGGAGCAAATCAGGCGTGTGGAGGGAATAACGGACGGAAGGAGAATAACCACACGAGTGTGTGATGGGTATGAGCTGGATGGGATAGATACAGACAGACAGACAGACTCAGACCACCTTACAGACCATAACACACTTTCTCTGCCCCAGAAGCCCTAAGAAGAGCCACTCCCGCCCCGCCCTGCCCCGCCCCCCAAACACTCACCGCTGGGCTGCCGCAGCTCGTGGAACACCACCACGTCCAGGGGGCTGTTCAGGTGCTCCGCCAGTGTGGCCACGTCGCGGCCCGTCAACCGGTTGGCGCTGTAGATGGCCTCGTTGTCCAGGTCGGTCCAATAGATCCGGTCCTGCAGGGGGCAGCATGCACACGTACCCACACACACACACACACACACAGATACACAAGGCGTGCTCAGGGCTTGCATCACAGGACTCTCCCACTCAGCTCTTCTGAAGCACCAGCAGGTCTCATTAAGGCTGAAGCTCATTCCAAAACCCGCCACTGAGGCCCACGAGCATCAGCTTTGCCGTTTGAAAACTCTGCAGAGCAATTTCACCTTTTTTTTCATAACTGCATGGAGAATGATGAGCTGACAGTCGACCGTTTTCTCTGTGATCTAACGAATCTTTTTTTCCAGCAGGGGCAGTGCATGGAAGACGCACAGCAAAGCCAGTGACCAGATTCAGGAATGAGCCCACCCCCCATCCCCCATACGTGATGACCGGCAGTGAATCACTGTCAGACTTTCATTCTTTACCCTGACAGAGCATCAGGTGGTAGTTAGCACAGAGCCCGGGGGTAGTCCCTGTGCCATTAGGGCCTCGACATCGCATATGGTGACAGCGGCTATTTATAATCATCCACCAGCACTCTCACACCCTGTTGGGTCACTCTCAAGGCCTCTTGGGCCACCCCACACCCAGCCGGACTACTCGCATGACATGCCAGTCCTCTCCCACTTCCTGTCAGGCCATACCCATACCCTGCCAGGCCACACCCACACCCTGCCAGGCCACTCCTACTTCCTGTCAGCCACTGCTGGGTGTATAACATCCCCAGCTCATTCTGCAGCCAGACACGAAATCTCCACACTTCTCCCAAGACAGCAAGAACTGGCACTGGTGGGGGGGGTGATCTATGTAAAGACCCACCGTCGGCCACCCCCCCCCCCCACCAAAAGGACCACAGCCCCTGGTCAAAGCCTCGCAGCATATTACTGGCCAGATCCTGCTCCCCACCCCCCTGCTAAAAATAAAAGAATGAGGAAAACACATTATTTCCCCTCCGGTCCATGATGGACGACCCGCACCAGGGCCACACCGGCAGGAAGCAAGAATCCTGGTCCTCCTTAATTCGATTCCGGCCTCAAAGGCGGTTCCCTCCCCTGCGCTATTAATCTAGCGCCCAGTGACCTGTCTCGTACCCCCCCCCCGCGAGAATCTCACCTCAAACACCGTCAGGGCGAAGGGGTGGCCCAAGTGGTCGGAGGAGGAGAGCAGCACCTTCCGGCTGCCTCCGTTCAGGTCGACGCTGGAGATGAGGTGCAGCTTCGAGTCGACCCAGTAGAGCCTCCTGCTGGCCAGGTCTGCAACGACAGCGGCGGGAGGCTCTCAGAACCCGGGATATTCATTCGGCATTCGTGTCCTGAGATCCCCCCGTAAATGCAATCATCGCCGCCACCCCGAAGGGAAAATCAATATTAGAACAGAGAAGCCACTATTCTCGGGGGGGCCGGGGGCCACAGCAGCAGCTCTCGCTACACAAAATAATTTGTTTTTTTTGTAGACCAAGGCTCATGCTTGGCTCTGCATCTAAGACCGCCTTAAACCACCCCCCCCCCACTCACTGTAACCACTAGCCTGATTGAGTTATGTTCTGGGGGTAAAGGAATTATGGGTACATCGACATCGCTGCTTGTACAATTTCTTTCGGGTTTTCTAACTATCGAGTGATTTATGAACACGGGCCTGTGAATGAGTTATGGGGCCGTCTCTCAGATGAGGGGTGGGGCGGTCACGGGGGAGGGGGTGGGCCTATCCACGTTCCCGAGGGGGTCTTACCCAGCGTGATCCCATTGGGCCACTCGATGCTATCAGAAACCAGCACCTGCCGGTCCACTCCGTTCATTCCCGCCTTCTCGATCTTGGCCTGGGCTCCCCAGTCTGACCAGTACATGAACCTGCAGAACGCGAAAACCCACTGGACATTAGAGCACAGACAGGCAGTGCGGGAGAAGATCGGTGCTTACATAGCGTTTCATACCCCAACAAACGTACCTGCACATAAGTCCACCTCTGTGCATCACCAAAGAAACCAGCACGTCACGCTGTTACTGGGCGAGCCCCGGAATGACTAATATGGGGGATCCTGTGTTTGCAAACATGAGTCTGGTCTAAACCCAGAAGGCCACCAAGCGCTCACGCCATCCTGGAAAAGGAGACCTACATCTCCTACGCAGCCTGGGAATGTTTACAGGCGCTATGTAGGCTAAACGCTTAGCTCTAGGGAATTCCAGGGGATCCTTTTCTTAGCCTGCTCCTGCTCCTCGTGAAGACCAGACCAGAGCACCGGCATTAAAGCCTTATTCCGTGCTCAGTATTCCCACAGGGCAATTCGGATCCGTAATGAGCACAGTGTCTAGGACCTGAGCATAACCAGTGTTCCACCACAGACTACTAAACACATGTATGTCCATCCAATACGCACTCCCACTGAAGTGTAAATAGTGACTTATTTATTTGACTCTGTTACTAATACCTGTCATTTTACTCCTAATTGCACACTATTTATAGACATTTATGATTATTGTTTAATGCATTGTCTCTTTATACATGTGTGTCACAGAAGCTAGACAACCAAGCATCTCACTACATATTGTACAGAGTGTAACTGTATATGTGACAAACATAACTGATTTGATTACTAACACCTATGGTTAAGGAAGTATGTAGAAACCCCTTTGCAGACGGATTCCCTCAATCCCAAGCTCCTCTCCTGGTATCAACCACAGCCCGTCTCTCACCCTTGCTTGGGATCCACGGCGATGGCCCTTGGCTCACTCAGCTCCGTGTGGATCAGCACCCTCCTCTTCTTGCCGTCCCCCGTGGCTACGGAGATAGTCTTGTCCCCCGAGTCAGTCCAGTAGAGGTTCTTGTGGATCCAGTCAATGGCCAGCCCTTCCGGGGAGTGCAGGGCGGAGTCAATCAGGGTTATCTGCTGGGAGGAGTCGCTGGCCTTGTTGATGTAAGCACTATACAAAAGCACATGGGAGTACACTTAGTCCATTAGAAACAACAAGTTCTGTCAGAAAAGTCATAACTTTCATGGTATGTGCTGCACATCTCACCATATTACCCACAATGCACCTGACCTGACAAAGGCAGACAGTGAGCCGTTTGTTACTCCTATTATTAATGAAAATGCTGGAACTTTATTTTTTTAGTAGAACATCAAGAGTATTCTGCTGTCCCAAAAGATATTCTCATGTCTTTAAGATCCAGCACGTTGTACCATTATTAAGTGAACACCATTGTATCTTGATGCAGATTAAGACATAAAAGATTATCGCCAAAATGAAACACAGCACTGGAGCTGAATTAAGTTTCCCAGCCCCTGATGGGGGTACTGAACGGGACAGGAGCTGGTTAAACATGCCCCACGGATTCTGGGGAGCCCGGCCAGTTCCTCTGCTCCTCGCAAACGTCTCAATTAGTCTGAAAAATGAAAATCATGGCCAGCTAAGTGACGCTAATTCGGAATTAATTAGCGGGCGAGTCACATCAGCGCCGCGACGTTAATCACGCAGCGGCAAGATGGAGACGACGGCGGCCAGCGGCTGGCGGACGCGGCTTCCCGCCGTACGGCCTTTATTCCCATTGTTCCTGCAGTTGTCGGCTTTCGGGAGATGAGACAAGAGGGGGGGGGGGCAGGGGGTGCTGGATGAATGTCGGTATTAAAATGACAAAGCTGGCGCATAATTTAGATGAAAATAGAGCCGGTTCTCCTTGGGGACATGGATCCGCTTGCAACATCCAGGACAAATACCGCGGAAGTTTAATAATTATAATAATAAGTTCAGATTGTCTAGCCAGGGTTTAACATGAACGTTTATGTTTCTACCAAAGGCTCCCTTGGAGATAACTGTGTCAGAGTCGGACTTCCTCTGACACATTGACACAGACGGAGCGTCCCGCTCAAGAACACGTTACAATCAGTCTACCACTCCTGTCGCCAGTCACATGACAGCTGCCGGCCAATCGCCGAAACCCATCCCTCCGGAGGTCAAGGCCTTGTTCTCTTTCATGTGCAGGTGCTACGAAAAGCCCCCAAGCACCAGCTAACCAATCAGCTACGGGCTGAGTGGCGGGTGCCACTGAGGAGACGGCCTTACTGAAGGGCTAACTGAGAACAGGAAGTCTAAGGGCACCGGCTCTCTGTGCAACCTGAAACTCCACCTATCCAGTTTCCATAACTACTTATTCAACACGGTGTTGCAGCCCTAGTAGGAACAGGGAGTGAGGCAGAGGACAACCTGGAGGAGACCAACAGGCCTGCAAGAATATACAAGGCCACACAAAGGGAGTTGGGGCAAAATGGACCCTAAGAGCCAGTTTGTGAGGCCACTGTGCTGCCCAGAAAGCCACAGCGCCCTCTACATTTAATTACATATATAAAATTCTAAATGGCAGCAAGGACAACATGGTATTTATTAGGTTTTAGGTTTTTCAAGAATAACCTTTCTCTGCCATCAAATTTATATTAATTGTGGCAGTTTTTTAAGTGAATGATTTGACTTGAATAACACGCTCGTAGGAGTTTGACTTACACGATATATGTTCTGAGGGGAGAAGCAAAAATGATTGGTTCTGGGATATAGCCAATCAGATTGTAGAGAAGGTGGGTCCAAGCAACTAGAGGAGGCGGGATCCAGATATCTGACTGCTTGGACCCACCTCCTCTCCAATCTGATTGGCTATCTCCTTGAACCAATAATTTTTCTTTCTGCCCTCAGTACATTTTTGTGTAACTAAATCTCCCATGAGCAAAATATTTTGCGAACATAACAATAACATAAATTTGAGATCCTGCAGGGCCAGAGGCTGTCCTGACCAGATGGGGACAGCCAGGGGTGAAAGGCGACGTACCTGTAGATTTTGCGGTGAAACAAATCACACCAATACATCTTGTTGGTGGCGACATCCACATCTAGTGCCACCGCATTCTTCAGGGTGGGGACCACCTGGGTGTAATCCCGCTTAATGAGGTCAATGCGTCGAATCTCGTGGCGATTGGTAAAGATCAGATAGGGGCTTTTCCCTGAGAGTGCACAGGTGGAGAAAAAGCAACGATGTAAAGTGTAAAGGACCTCCAAGCCAGTAGGGGGCAAACAAGAAAATGAAGCGAAGATGAGAACTCCTGCTCAAACTGATGTCATTAGTATCCAACCTGTCCGCTCTGATTTTTACTCCTAATTTTTCCATCCTTTTTAGATGTTAAAAACTAAGACATCAGGCAAAAGGCAAAGAATAATGGTGCATATCTTATGGAATCCAAAATACAAACCCTGATCATAGACGGCAAAGAGCCCATCTGTTTTCGGGTGACTTCGTTAAGGTAGCCGCATTTGATATGTCGGCCGCGTTCTGGAGTCCTGACGACCTCGGCTCGTCTGCCTTGGGCTTTATTTACCCGGACTGTGATGTGTGCGTCTGCTCGCAAGGCAGTTTAATCTGTTCCTCTGGAGATCCGTGCCTTTGAATATTCAACAGGGCCCCTCAACACAGAGCGTGACCTTTAGCGTCAAACACACCACTGTCCGATCTTCTCTTCCAGATTCTGGTAAGTACAGCTCCGAACTTTCTCTGTTACCCTTCACAGAGTACCTGTATTAATCTTTAATTTGACTTCTTATTTGTAATGCCCAACTACTCTGGTGTCTCCTAAAAGGAACGGACTCTGCCCCCTTTTATCTATTTAATGTAACAACTAGGAGCCGATCTGCACAGCACATGCAATCCGTAAATGATTTCAAAGCCCCGCACGGTGAGATTCTCCTCACATGCTTGTTCTCTGCAGATATTCCCAGGAATAACTTCCATCTGAAATTCCGGCCTGGACTCCGATCAGAAAGTGGAATGAATCATGCAGAATTTACTGATGACACTAAACAATGCCGCATGAATTTTTTCTCTGGTCCTACTGCCCGAAATGCTTGGGAACGTCATTTAATTCCTTAACCCGGGAATTTTATATTCCATTATCCCTGGATTTCATTACTACTGTCAGAGAGTGACTGCTAGAGAGATCCACAGCATAAGCCGCATCTTCCTCCGAATATAAATCGGGCATTATACTCAATAAGACGCAGAAAAGCCCCTATCCTCCATGATGTTCATGTTCTGCGGCTCATCTCCAGAACATTCTCATTGGCGGAGGCGGACCCGCTCCCAGGCGCCAACTAGGCGGTGCTTGTGGCTCGGCACGGCCCAAGGGGAAGGCGCCACTCTCTGTCTGAGGGGGTGTCACAGTACAATGCTGCATATTTAAAGAGTGCAGGCGGGGGGGGGCGCAGGTAAGTGATGGTGAAGGACTCGCGTTAGATGGAGGAATCTGCCCCACACTCCTACTGTGCGCACCCCTCACTGCTCTGCCAGCTGCCCCTCTCCGCCCCACGGCTCTGCAATCAGCTGTCCCCCCACCCAAACCCAGTTGGGTCACATGTTGTCAGATCTCGTCTTCCTGTCTATTTGCCTCGACGCCCAGACACCAGTACTAAACTCTCGGTTTAAAGTAATTTTACTAATTATTTAACGAGGTATCTCGCCATCCACACGGGCGTGAATAATTAGGGGGGTAATTAATCGGAGTGCTTGCCTTCTTCCTCCGTGCAAATTTGTGGGTTTAAGTATCAGAAAATGCCCCCCCACCACCCCTGTTGTTTACACTCAAATCCCTTGACATTCATCCAAAAGAGAGGCGGACTCTATGTAATGGGAGAGTCACTGCGCCCCGAAAGGCCCCCCCTGGGAATGCAGACGTCATGCTGCTGATTGGCTATCATGTTTATCCGGGTGTCTCCACCCAGGAAGTCACCGCCACACTTTGTGGGCTCCGGATCCACCGATTGTCTCTGACGAACCAAAAAGGACCACCCCCCCTTCCGTAGACTCACCCAGGACGTTTCACCCCCCCCACCACCATAGCATAGCTGTTCTGTGTTGGCACCACAGAGGGCGCCAACACTTTTAGGGGTGCGAGGAGCATGTACAGCGCAGTCGGAGACAGCGCCCCCTCAGAACCTGGTTCCCTAGGCGGCTGCCTATGGTCCCTGATGGGTTGACCCCCTCCAGCACTGTTTAATGAGTACATTGGAACGGTCAGCGTCCTGTCATTCGGTTGATGGCTGGGATGATTATCGCTTTGACAAAAAGACTTCACGGACTCTGCAGGCGAATCGCTATGACGACTAACCCCCATGCGGGGAGGCAGCGGAAACCAGCTGTAAACGCAAAACGGCAGCTGAAAAGATAAAAAAAAATAAAAATGAAAATCACGTCATGATGCAGCTGTATGTTAAAGCATTCGGAGCGATGCATAGCGGCTCAGACTCGAATCGACGAGGCGTTTTTAAATCACCATGTTGGACGGAGTTAATCCGCGAGACAAAACGCGGCCGGTGGAGCAATTAGCGCTTCCTGGGGAGGGAAGACAGGAAAACAGCCAGGAACATTCATTCCTTCAGGCAGATAAAAAGAACACTCACTCCCAAATTGGTCTGAAGTCCAGCGTGTTAATTATATCGATAGAACACACCTACACAGTGGACGCCATCTGCCGTAACACCTAGAATTCCGCATGAGAAATAGCGCTCAATTATGAAAGGTACAGACGCCATTTTGAACACTACAATCTTGCCGATCATTCAAATAAATATACAGCCGTGGAAAAAACTAAAGACCACAGCACAATTTTTTTGTTTCACTCATTTCTTGATTTATTGGTGTGTGTCTGTGAGTAACATATATTTTTCTGCAAATTGCAGTCTGATTCTTCCCTGTTTCTCATTAATGAAGGACTTCTTCCTTGCTTTATGGGACCTCAGGCCTGCTTCTAGGAGCCTGATATGAACTGTCCTAGCAGTGCACCTCATACCACTTAATGTTTCCCATTCCTTTTGAAGGACACTTGATGTCATCCTTCGATTCATGAGAAACTGCCGGATAAGTTGACAGTCATCTCCGGCATTAGAATGTTGCTTCCGTCTTTAAAAATATAGAGGGGTTTCTTAATTTTCTCCATGGCTGTACAGATACACCATCAGTACCCCATGTAAAGCAAACATCCTCAACTATCTTGCAAAAATGGTCCATCTGCAACGGCAAGCTAACATTCTGTGCCAGTAGCTCACGTGTTGAATGCAGAAGATATGGACAGGGGTAAAGATGAGGGGGAGAAACTCTGATAAGGTCCAAATCGTTATGGCCAGATGAGTTGGTCGAGTCTAAGCTGACAGAGGGGGTCGGGGGTTCGAATCTTCACTATCGTCTCACCCCTCCATAGTTGGCGGTTCTATGGATTCTCTGGTTTCCTTCCCCAGTCCAAACAGACACAACTACTTGAAATGACATTTCTAAATTGCCCACAAAGTGTGAGTGTATGAGCTCTGTGATAGACTGGCATCCCATCCAAGGTGTACTCTTGCCTTACTGAATAAGCTATTGTAGGGTGCTAAATTCCATTTAGCTTTCACTTTAAAGTATATTAAGTGCTAAATATCTAATAAAGCTCCATAAATGAGTCTATAATGAGGTGCGTTTGATCTCCAGTCACTCCCCACGGTACTGAAGCTGAACAATAAGTCACATCTCACATGCATTTATTTCTTCTGAACAGATTGCAGCAATTCCAGCTGGTGTTCAGGTCAGTGGGGTGTGTCTGAGAGCCCTCAACTTCACAGACCCCCCTTTCATCACTGTCTGTGCCCCCAGAAGACTTACAGTGCAGGATTAATGAATTAACCCTTCGTTAGCAATACATCACCTCCACATCGGCAGTCAGAGCAGTGGATGCTTCCCGTCGTCTTGGAGTAAATGAGTAACGTCTCTAGGGTGACCACCTAATCTATGTCGGGGGGGGGGGGGGGGACTATGAGCTGGGACAGGGTTTGTAAACTACCATTTCAATGAAAAAGATTTCACTTTAGCACAGAGTTCTTGCTGTGTGCTGATTGGTCAGTCTCATATATTCATGTAGGTGTCACTAATGTTTAATGTGAAACAGCTGGATGAGTCTGTCAATCAAGGAAACAAACCAGTAAAGGGACAAGAAGAATTGAACAAATTAGCCAAGAACAGGAGCCTTTCAGGTTTAAAGTAGTTTGTAAAACCTGAAGTAGCTCATAGTGTCCCTCCTGACATGGATTAGGGGGTCACCCTAAACCTCCCTGATTTGCTTGGTTACCCTCCTCTGTATTGGGACGTTTCATTTGCCATGACAACAGCCTCTTTGTTCTGAGAGACCCAGGTCCTTTTAATATCCATACTAAAATGAGCCGGCTGAGAAGGCAGTCAGTGGGGGTTCTGTGATATTTAAAAGGAAGCTGGAGATTTCAGAACAAACCAAACGTGCAGATGTGGATCTCATGTCCTGGGAAGGGCCACGTTAATCATCCAGTCGGTTCTGTTCCTTTGCTCTTTCCTCACCCGCACCTCTCCGTCCAGATCTGACCGTATACGCACCAGGGCAGAGAGGAAGAGATCAGACAGCACTTGGTTTGCGATGGGGGGTGACATGGGTGGGGGGGGGGGTGAGTGTACCCTATTCACCAAGCACTCGGAGGCTTTGTAAGGCCAGGGCCTGAAAAGAAAGTAAGGTGACGTTCCGGGCCGGATGAGGCGGAATTGCTCACCCACGGCTTTGCACATCCTGGTTCCGGGGTCCATCTCGTAGCCCTCGTAGCATTCGCACTTGTAGTCGCCTTTGTAGTTCACGCACACTTGGCTGCAGATCTCCGGATTCTCACATTCGTCTATGTCTGTGGGGTGGGGGGAGGAATATGTCAGAAACACGCCGGTGATCGAGGTGGGGGCCGGTGAGGCTGCGGCGGGGGGCGGGGGGGGCGGAGCTTACCACCACACATCCTCTTGTCCAGCAGCTGGTATCCGGGGGGACATTCGCACTCGTACCCGATCCGTCGGTCACGGCACACGTGGGAGCATCCACCGTTATGGTCTGCACACTCGTTCTTGCCTACGAGGGGGCGCCGGGGGGGGGGGGGGGGGGGGGGGGGGGGGGGGGGGGGGG